CAATGGAAAGGTTCTCCTCATTGCTTTCCGAATTTCTTCCATTTGTAATAGACTCTTAAGTATATTTCCCACAGATCCTTTCTCAGAAAGTTACTGGAGAAAGTTACTGAAGGATATGCACCACCACTTGAGGAAGCTAATCAAAAAAGACAACTATATGGACATAGGAATTGGGAGATCCCTCCAGAGTAACTGTTGCTCACCAGACCTAGGGTGTAACTTGTTCAGATTGAAGCAGGTTTGAAACTTTGTGCCTTAGGACAGTGAAGGATTCTGTATTTGTAAGTATCTTTTCTTCTGAAGTGAATAGGTGACATAGTAAAATCCAATGGAATCTCACTTTTATTATAAGATCCACAATGATGCTAGAATATTGATGAGAATGAAAACTGATACACACAGGTATATGTTTTTAACTTGCTTAAAATGAAGGATTACATTGAAGACTGATGTCAGTCATCCTAGCAAGAGTCTTTTGATTTCTTTAGACTGTGGTGTAAATTAAAATGAAATCTGCCTGAATAAGGGGAGTGTGTGTGTGTGTGTGTGTGTGTGTGTGTGTGTGTGTGTACATACTTATATATAGGCATATTATGTCTATGAATGAATACCCAGGAAGCTGGAGATCAGAGTTGTGTGGCTAGGGAAAGGGAATGTGAGAGAGATCTTCCTTTCTGTTTACCTTCTTGTTTCTCTTGGTGTATTGGACAGAATGCAGGGTCAAAGAGACAGGAGACTGAAATCTATTGGGAGGTAACTATCATGTTCTTGGAATGAATAAATAAGGTCCTGAATGAGAAAAGAAGAGGTGGGTGTGAAAGTGGGAGGAATGCTTGTCTAGCCTGGTGATGACTGATAACAGAATGAGGCAAGAGGGCAGGGGTGAGCAGTGGGTGCTAGGGAAAGGTTAAATGCAGTCATCAGAGATGACTTTTTGCTTTAAAGCCTCGGTTAATGTATTAGTTCCTTCTCATGCTGCTAATAAAGACACATCCAAGACTGGCTAATTTGTAAAGGAAAGAGGTTTAATTGACTCACAGTTCAGCAGGGCTGACGAGGTCTCAGGAAACTTACAGTGGTTGAAGGGGAAGCAAACACACCCTCCTCACAGAATGGAAGGAAGGAGAAGTGCCAAGCAAAAGGGGGAAAATCCCTTTATAAAACCATCACATCCCATAAGAACTTACTCACTGTCATGAGAACCACAGCATGAGGGTAACCACCCCCATGATTCAATTACCTCTCATTGGGTCCCTCCCATAACACTGAAGATTATGGGAACTACAATTCAAGATGAGATTTGGATGGGGACACAGCCAAACCATATAATTTTACCCCTGGCTCCTCCCAAATCTCATGTCCTTACATTTTGAAACACAATCATACCTTTCCAACAGTCCTCCAAAGTCTTACTCATTCTAGCTTTAACCCAAAAGTCCAAGTCCAAAGTCTCATCTGAGACAAAGCAAGTACCTTCTGCCTATGAGCCTATAAAATCAAAAGCAAGTTAGTTACTTCCTAGATACAATGAGGGTACAGGCATTGGGTAAATACACCCATTCCAAATAAGAGAAATTTGCCAAAATGAAGGGGCAATAGGCCTCATGCAAGTCCAAAATCCAGTGGGACAGTGGAATCTTAAAGCTCCAAAATGATTTCTTTGACTCTGTGTCTCACATCCGGGTCACACTGATGGAAGAGGTGGGCTCCTGTGGCCTTGGGCAGCTCTGCCCCTGTGGCTTTGCAGGGTACAGCACCCCTTTTGGCTTCCTTCACAGGTTGGCATTGAGTATCTGTGACTTTTCCAGGTACATGGTTCAAGTTGTCAGTGGACCTACAATTCTGGGGTCTGGAGAATGGTGGCCCTCTTCTCATACATAGCTCCAGTTGGCAGTGCCCCAGTGAGGACTGTGTGTGGGGGCTCCAACCCCACATTTCCCTTCTGCACTGCCCTTTCAGAGGTTCTTCATGAGGGCTCTGCCCCTGCAGCAAACTTCTGCCTGCACATCCAGGTGTTCCCATACAGCCTCTGAAATCTATGGGAGGTTCCCAAAACTCAGTTCTTGACTTCTGTGCATCTGCATGCTCACCAAGTGGAAGCTGCCAAAGCTTGCGGCTTGCACCCTTTGAAGCCATGGCCTGAACCATACGTTGGCCTCTTTTAGCCATGGCTGTGATGCAGGGCACCAAGTCCCAAAAGTGCACAAAGCAGCCTGGCCCAGAAAGCCATTTTTCCCTCCTAGGGCCTCTGGGCCTGTGATGAGAGGAGCCTCTGTGAAGGCCTCGGACATATCCTGGAGACATTTTCCCATTGTCTTGGCAATTACATTTGCCTCCTTGTTACTTATGCAAATTTCTGCAGCTGGCTTAAATTTCTCCTCAGAAAATGTTGTTGTTGTTTTTTTTTAATCAAGCCGTCATGCTGCAAATTTTCCAAATTTTCATGCTTTGCTTCCCTTTTAAACATAAGTTCCAATTCCAAATCATATTTTTGTGAATACACAAAATTAATGCTTTTAACAGCACCAAAGTGACATCTTGAATGCTTTGTTGCTTAGAAATTTATTCCACCAGGGGGGCCGGGCGTGGTGGCTCACGCCTGTAATCCCAGCACTTTGGGAGGCCGAGGTGGGTGGATCACGAGGTCAAGAGATTGAGACCATCCTGGTCAACATGGTGAAACCCTGTCTCTACTAAAGATACAAAAAATTAGCTGGGCATGGTGGTGCGTGCCTCTAATCCCAGGTACTCAGGAGGCTGAGGCAGGAGAATTGCTTGAACCCAGGAGGCAGAAGTTGCGGTGAGCCGAGATCACGCCATTGCACTCTAGCCTGGGTAACAAGCGCGAAACTCCGTCTCAAAAAAAAAAATAATATAAAAATAAAATTATTCCACCAGGTACCCTAAATCATGTCTCTCAAGTTCAAAGTTCCACAAATCTCTAGGGCCGGGGCAAAATGCCACCAGTCTCTTTGCTAAAACATAACAAGAGTCACCTTTATTCCAGTTCCAAACAAGTTCCTCTTCTCTGCCTGAAACCACCTCAGCCTGTATTTCATTGTCCATATCACTATCAGCATTTTGGTCAAAGCCATTCAACGAGTCTCTAGGAAATTCCAAACTTTCCCACATCTTCCTGTCTTCTGAGCTTTCCAAACTGTTCCAACCTCTGCCTGTTGCCGAGTACCAAAGTTGCTTCCACATTTTTGAGTATCTTTACAGCAGCACCCCATTACTCAGTACCAATTTACTGTATTAGTTTCTTCTTATGCTGCTAATAAAGACATACCCAAGACTATTTATAAAGGAAGTAAAGGGTAATTTATAAAAGAAGGAGGTTTAACTGACTCACAATTTAGCAGAGCTGTGGAGGTCTCAGGAAACATGGCAGAAGGGGAAGCGAACACATTCTTTTTCACATGATGGTAGGAAGGAGAAGTGCCAAGCAAAAGGGGTAAAAGCCCCTTATAAAACCATCACATCTCATGAAAACTCACCATCCTGAGAACAGCATGAGGTTAACCACTCCCATAATTCAATTACCTCCCACTGGGTTCCTCCCAGGACATATGGGGATTGTGGAAACTACAATTCAAGATGAGATTTGGGTGAGAACATAGCCAAGCCATATCAGCTAACAAATATAAGGACATCGGCTAAATGACACTAGCTTCAGAATAGCAAAGGAAGGAAGGGGCACTGCAAAAGACTAAGTAGTGGGGCTGAAGGAAAGGAGTTGGGAGCAATAAACAACTTACTTCCTTTTGACCCAAATCTCATTTTCACTTTTCTTATGTATCTTTTTATCTATTAGCACCTGGCCATATAAGATTGGAATGACTTGTGGAAATCTTAGTGATGGGTCCACTAGAGTCACCAGTGGAGTGGGGCTGAGAGAGTGCAGTGCACTTGAACTGCAACCAACTCAAATTCTGTCTCTTCTGTAGTCAGAAAGGCTAGCAAATAAAAGGGTGAAGGGGATGATGCTTTGCAAAATTCTCCCCAGCTCTGCCACTTACAAAGTTAACAATGTTGGATAAATTACTCTGACTCATCTTTGTGCTTAGATTTTTCTCATCAGCATAATGGGCATAATATTCCATTACCTACAACACAAGGTTAATGTGATAATATAATGAATTTAAAGGTTTAGATGAGCAACTGGTACATGGTAAACGTGAAATAATGTTAGCTAGTACTATTCTGCCTAATGATCTCTTTAGACTTTTTTTTTCTTTTCCCTGGTCTTAGAATACAGCAGTTCAGAGAATTTAATATACAAAGGAGGGATGTTCTTACCAAAGGGCATGTTAATAAGTCATTCAACCTTTAAACAGATATGTTTTGAGAGAACAAAAAGGAATTCTGGAAATAATACATGATAACAGAAATAAAAATACAGCAGAAGTTAGATAAAGCTGAGGAAATCTTTAAGAAATAGAACAAAAGACAAGAAGATGAACAACAGGATAGACAACTATCTTAAGTACTTGGGATTCATCGGTAAGAAATTAAACACATTCCTGCCTTCACAGACTCTAGGTCATTTTCTTTTGTCCAGAGTTTTCCTGGATTTTCTGAAATGCTGTATATATATACATATATGCATTTTTTTATATTCACAATGTTTTCAAGGAATATTTTTACGAAAAGCTTTTAATACACATATTTAAAAATTTTTAAATTACACAGCACAGGTTACAAATTCAAAAGTAAACTTCCCTTCCTATTCAAGATTTCTTAGTCGTCCTTAAAAACAACCATTCTTACTCGATTTTTTATGACTCGTTACTGGATAAACATATAGAAATATACAAACCTCTTTTCTCAAATAGTGGCAGGGGAAAAAGAAGAGGAGAAGATACAGGATGCGTCAGAGGCTTCTAGCTATAGACACGTCAAGAGAAAGGAAGTACATTCAGAGGACAGAGCAGGGAACATCAGACCACAAGGATTGAGTAGTACTCTTGAAGCCAAAGTAGAAAATTCAGACTTTTAAATGAATGTAATAAGCATTTATTAAAAATGGTGCTGCACAAAACATGTTAGAAACCGGCCAGGTGCTAGGAATCTAATGAAGGCTGGGGCATGGTACACACATGGGAATACTACATGGACAAGCTTATCTAGCATCGCAGTCTATAACCCTTAGGGGTTGTTCAAGTAAAATAAAGGAACTATTTTTGTGGCTTGGGCCCCCCAGAGTTCTCTTTAGGTTTGGACAGAGACTGCTCCATCCCTTACTGATCCTACTTTTGAGCCAGGTTTCCAAAGTCATTTCTCCCAGTATATCCATCTCTGTACACAGTTTCCTCTGGTTGCCTTCAGCAAAAACAAACATCCAACTCAAATTTGCTAATCTGGGCCAGCCCAGATTCCTGTAGGACATCTGTAGGTTAAGGAAGCCCCTACGTGATCTGCATCTTGGTCTTCCTAATTCCAATGCAGCTTTTTCTCTCTCAGCCAGGAGTGGAGAGCCCTAAGCCTCCTTCCACTCATCCCATTATCAAGACAATGGCTCTCCCTCCTCATCTCTGCTTCCAGGAAGATGACATCCCAATAACTTGGCTATCACCAAAACCTCTCCCTGACCACCAGGGAAACTGCTGTCTGTCTTAAGTCCATTTGGACAGACTGTACATCTGTTGCTTGTTTCAAGATTTGTTGGTGGGCTGGACAGACCAGACATTTCATGCATTTCGTTGGATTAAGATTTCTCTTTTTTTCTCTTTTGAATCTTGTGATCTCTGTTGTTTCTTTCACAGCTTCCCCAGGCCATCTCACAAGATCCAGCACTTTCCTGTTTATTTAGTGCTCTCCACTAGGGCTTGTTGGGCAAGGCAAGCTTCCTCAATATTAGCTCTGGCTCCAGGTTCTATCTCTGCCTTTCCTAATTTCCCCAAATTTAGGTTGGTCTCCTCATTGTTGCCTGTACCCTAGGCCACCATTTTCCTTACTGACCCTGACAGAGGGACAAGCACTCCTTAGCAGGGATAGACTTTTCTCTAGAGCATAGTAATCACATTATTACAGTACATGGATCTTTATGTTTCAAAGTATTAGCACTGTGAGGTCATAAATACCTAACTCCCACCCAGACTGAGGAGGTAGTTGTTCAGTCACAGGTATACAAGATTCAGTGAGGCACCAGCTTAGAATTTGGGGCAGATAAAATGCAGTTTTCCAGAAGTTGAGAGTTCTATTTTTAAAAAACCACAATCTATGAAATTAAGAGAAGAATCTGATCTGGAGGATGTGTTGGTCCTAAATTTTATTTCCAGGCCATGAATCATTAAGCTGGGCTTGGCTTGTAAGAGTGCTCCGTAGTGAAAAGAAGCAATGAGAGAATTAATGTCTGCTTTTGGCATACGGAGAACAGCTGGAGTTATAGGGAAGCTATTCCACTTAGAGGGAGTCCTGGGGGTTATGACCCTGTCCCCTAATCATTAATGGTAATGTCTTCTTGCTTTCCAGAAGAAATGAGAAATGTTGCCCAGAAACTTGCAAATGAAATTGTTTAACAAATGAAAAATCTTATTGTCTTTACTCTTTAATTAAAAATATGTATCACTTTCGTCGCATGAAGGTGTCTTGGAACTTTTAAAAGCATGCTGGGCTTCATCGGATCTTTCGGGTTCATGGATTTTTACGCTGGAAAAATAGAAGAAAAGATTGGATGAGATTTCACAGTTGAGCTACTTTCTTTTTCTAGATTTCAATGACAGGGCAGAATAGAGTGGCCATTGGAACAGCAATGAGGAAAAACAAACTATTGAAGAGAAAGGTGGAGAAGGCAAGAGAAAAGAAACATGCACTACACTGTCGTCTATGCTCCAACAACTATCCTTTATTTCTGCCTGGCCCTGCCCATTCCTTCTGCTGATTCTCTGCTGCCTGCCCTCTGCAGGCTCTTCAAGACCATTTTTGAAATTGAGTCTGACAGGGTAAGGCAGGATTTCAACACCCTTTCTCATTGTCCAAGTGTGCCTGAAATTATTAGTCATGTTGCTAGAATCACAGTGGCTGGCATATCAGGGTAAGTACTGGACACTCTTGGTGGTGTCTGCACCCTGGGAGTTATGACCCTGTCTCTGCAACCAGGCTTGTGATTTGTTGCTTTGATCCTATGGCTATGCAGTCAGAGCCTTGATATTCTTGGGAGTTTAATTTCTTAGAAGGGATAGAGGTACAGACTATCTGATAGCTTCATGTTGTGAAAGGACTGATCGCTATGAACCTTTATGTGTTCTTCATGCATCACTCATTCTTTCAACAAGCATTTATTGAGCACCTGCTATATGCCAGGCACCATGCTAGGTGCTAGCAGCACAATGATGAGCTTAACTGGTATGGTCTCTGCCCTCCATAGAATGTAGTTTAGTCTAGTTTATAGAGTTTAATAAGATAATTACACAAACATGTAAGCATAATATGGTGTTATTAAGAAAAAGGCCAGGGATCCACCTGACACCGTAACAAGTGAACATTTTCTAGTTTGGGATAGGGTTTTTAAAAAACTTCTGCTTGAGGCAAGATCTGAAGAATGAAGTAAGCAAGTATCAGAAGAACACTCTAAACAGAGCTATAGCAGATACTAAGATGCTGAGGCTGAAGCAAACATGTTGTCGCTCCCCACATCTTCATTTATTCATTCCACACATGTAGGATGCATACTAGTCTAGGTACTGGGACTACCATGGCAGATAAGATGCATTCCATGTTCACAACCTCAGAACTCTTTTGTATTGACTATTACTTGACCATGACAGAGCTTGTCATGCTTTCTGGGTATCATGCATTGGATACCCTGTCATCCATTAACAGGTTATTTTCTTCTAAGTATTAACTAGTCTTATTTTTCTCTCCCTCTCCACTACTTCAGGTTTGCTGAGGTCTCAATACGCCTTAGGCATAAACCTATTCAAGTCACAGACACCCTGGGGATTATGCCTCTCATCAATGTCAAAGGGTCAGGATTTACCTTTTCTGGGTCTGTTCACTCTCTCCCCTCTCCATGTTGATGGGTTCTGAAAGACACCAAGAACAACCTTCAAAAATGTATTCCCCATAGATACCAAAAGAAGGAAAGTTTGAAAAGGCTTCAAAGTTCTGGGACTCAGGGAGAAATTGTTGTGACTTTTATTTATTATTATTTCAACAAGCATTTATTGAGCACTTGCTACATGCCAGACTTTATATATGGAAGAGATAGTCATTTAAATGATGTAACTTCAGGAGAATTGAGAAGAAGTTCCTTGCATTCAAAAAGTGTATGCCTTCCCTTGCTCACTGTGCCTTAAATTCTTACACTGGAAATAGATTTTTCACTTATAGCTCTATCCTGGCTAACCAAAATTACCACTGGGAAGGGTAATACATTTCGTTTTAGCAATCATTTTGTTGTTGGAAGAATTTCTAAAACTTTACTGAAAGCAAGATTTAGAAGGAGGAGGAAAAGAAGTCTTGAAGACGTTGATGCCTAAAGGGATTAGCCAGATAATGCTAAGAATGTTACACAACATTGCAGGGACAAGCCCAAGCGGGAAACTTCTAGCCAGCTAGACCTCACAAAGCCTGAGTTCCTGTTGATAAGGACTTGCTACTGACACAACTTGGGATGTAAATTTCTCTAGGCTGTCTGTTGTGATGCTGCTATTTTCCCACTTAAAGCCCAGCAAGTTGCTAACCTGGGTGTCCACGGAGGTATTTACAGACCACAAAAATCCTCTCAGCAATACCTCTGATGGTTTTGTGATTCTGTCTTTACTAAATAGTCTTCGTGAACACTCACTGTTGTTGGAAGTTCTCGTGTGTGTGTGTGTGTGTGTGTGTGTGTGTGTGTGTGTGTGTGTGTATTTAAAAACAATCAGCTTTTATGAGGCTGCAAAGTTGTAAGAACGATATAATGGACTTAGAATCCTCGGGGGAGAAGAGTGAGAAGGGGGTGAAAGATAAAAGATTACACATTGGGTACAGTGGACACTGCTTGGGTGATAGGTACAAAAAAAAATCTCAGAAATCACCACTAAAGAACTTATCCAGGTAACCAAAAACCAAAACCATCTGTTCCCCAAAAACTATGGAAATAAAATAAAACTAAAAGATAAAACAATCACCTTTATGGAGGCATAATTAATAAACACTAAAACCCAATTATTTTCAGTATAGAGTTTGGTGATTTTAATGAATATATACAGTCATGTAACCACCACCACAATCAAGATAGAGAACATTTCTATAAGCCAAAATACTCCTACCCCTTTTCAGCTGATTCTTTTCCCCCATCCCATGGATAGCCATGAATCTACTTATAATAGTTTTGCTTTTTCTCAAATTTCATATAAATGAAATTATATAATGTGTATTCTTCTCGTGCCTGGACTGTTTCACTTAATATAATGCTTTTGAAATGTATCTATGTTCTTGTGTATTACCAGTAGTCCACTCCTTTCTACAGCTTTTCAGTATTTCGTTGCACAAATATAACACCATTTATTTATCCATTCACAAACTGATGACAATTTAGGATGCCAGGGTTGGTATTATGAAGAAAGCTGCTATGAACACTTGTGTATGAGTCTTTATATACTTTTAAAAAATTTTTAATTTCTGTTGGGTAAATGTCTAGCATTTCTGGGCTGTATAGTAGTACATGAGAGTTTTAGTTGCTTCATTTCCTCTCCAGCACTTGATGTTTACCAGATCTTTTAATTTTAGGCATTCTAGAGGGTGTGCAGTGGTATCTCATTATAGTCTTAATTTGTACTTCCCTGATGACTAATGATGCTGTAACTGTGCTCATTGGCCATTTGCATATGGCCTTCTGCTAACTATCTTTTCAAGTCTCTTGCTTCCTGTCTTTTATTAAATGGATCGTCTTCTTACTAATGAGTAGCAATATGTAATTATATATTCTGGATACAAGTCGTTTATGAAATATACATTTCGCAAACATTTTCTCCCTGTCTGTGGCTTGACTTTTCCTTTTTTAAAAAAAGTCAAAGAACAAAAGTTTTCAATATTGATGTCCATTTTATCTTTCTATGTTATGTTTTTTTGCCTTCTGTGTCTTATCTAAGATTTGCCTAATCTAAGGTCACAAAGATTTTCTCCAATGTTTTCTTTCAGAAGTCTTTTCATTTTAGTTCCTAATATGTAAGTTACTGTGTGTGTGTCTACGTTCATACTTTTTCCATGTGGATGTCTAATTGTCCCAACACTATTTGTCAAAAAGACTATCCTTTCTGCATGGAATCACCTTGGCATCTTTGTCAAAATCAGTTAACAGTGGGAATCTATTTTTTCACTCTGTTTTGTTCCATTGATTGATATGTCTTTCCTTTTACCAATATCACAGTGTCTTAATTACTATAACTATATAGTAAGTATTGGAATTAGGTAGGTTAAGTCCACCTTTGTTCATATTTTTCAGAATTGTTTTGGCAATTCTAGGTTCTTTGCACTTCCATATAACTTTTAGAGTAAGATTTTTAATGTCCACTAAAGAGCTTACCAGGATTTTGATTGTGATTACATTTATTCCATAGATCGACTTGGAGAGAATTGATATCTTAACAACATCTAGTCTTCTGATTCATAAACATGGCCTATGTCTCCATTTATTTTGGTTTACGTTAATTTCTTCAGTAATAATATTGTATAGTTTGCAGTATATATGTCCTATACTTGTTTTGTTAAATTTATTTCCAAGTTTTTAATGCTATTTGATGTTATTATAAATGCTATTAATTTTTTCAGTGTACAATGGCTTGTTGTTAGTACATAAAAATTATTGATTTTGTGTATTGACCTTGTATCCTGTGCCTTTGTTATACCCACTTATCAATTTTAATAGCTTTTTGATAGATTCCTCAGGATTTTCTATAAGCATTATCATTATCTGTAAAAAAAAGACAGTTTACTTCCTTTCCAAACTGTATGCCATTTCTTTCTTTTTCTAACCTGTTTCTCTGGCTATGAACTCCAGTAAAATGTTAAACAAAAGGTAGGGAGAGTGGGCATCTTCCCCTCACTCCCCAACTTAGGGGAAAAGCAATCAGTCCTTTATCATGAAATATTATGTTAACAGAACAGTTTTTGGTAGTCGTTCTTTGTCAGTTTGAGGAAGTTGTCTTGTATTCCTGTTTTTATGAGAGTTTTCTTTCCATTTAAAACTATGAATGGGTATTAATTTTGTCAAAAGCTTTTTCTGTATCCATTGACATGATTGTATTTTTTTTTCTTTTTAGTTTATTTATGTAGTAAAGGTTATTGCCTGGTTTTTGAATGTTGCGCTTGCCTGTGTTTCTTGAATAAACCTCACTTGATCATGATGTATTATACTTTTAACGTATTGCTAGATTTTAGTTGCTAATTTTGTTAAGCATTTCACGAGAGATGTTTGTAGTTTGCTTTTCTTGCAATGTCTTTTCCTAGTTCAGTATCAGGGGTACCCCTGCCTTCAGAGCAGCCTGCACACTGGCTCCAGGCAATAAATTGAAGCAATCATAGAGCTTATATCATTTTTTTTCCTTCACTCGGGGATTACAGTTTTCGGCTGTCTGTCATCTGATTTCTGAAAGCAGTTGTTTCATATATTTTGTCAGCTTTCTAGTTGTTTATGGAAAGAGGGCAATTCCTATAGCAGTTAATCCTTTGTTGGAGGAAGCAGAAGTCTATTTCTTCCATACAATTTTAAAAGAACTTTTATTTATTTGTTTTATTTATTTGTTTATTTACCTTTTAAGATGGAATCTTGCTCTATCACCCAGGCTGAAGTGCAGTGGTATGATCTCGGCTCACTGCAACTTCTGTCTCCCAGGTTCAAGCGATTCTCCTGCCTCAGCCTCCCCAGTAGCTGGGATAACAGGAACCAGCTGCCATGTCCAGCTAATTTTTGTATGTTTAGTAGAGATGGGGTTTCACCATGTTGGCCAGGCTGGTCTTGAACTCCTGACCTAAGGTGATCCGCCCGCCTTGGCCTCCAAAAGTGCTGGGATTACAGGTGTGAGGCACCACTTCCAGGGTAAAAGAGCTTTTAATTGTTAGAAAAGTCTCTCTTGATTCCTTATACCCTCTCATAACCTTTATTAATTGAGATGCCCTTCAGAGTCATACCATTAAGCTCAATCTTTGCATCCTGTGGCTTCTCTTCAGATATTCGCATCTCTGTCCTTTCCAGGCCTTCTTTCAGATAAAGCATCCTCAGTTACTTGAGCTATTTCTTTGACTGAGCTCCCAGATGTTTTAAAAATCTGGTTATGTTCTACTTTTGTAAAGGTTCTTCTTAAAAATAATGGTGCATATAAGGACATGAATAGACAATTCTCAAAAGAAAATATACAAATGGCCAACAAACATGAAAAAAAGTTCAATATCACTAACTATCAGGGAACTGCAAATTAAAACCATAATGAGATACCACATTATTCCTGCATGAATGGTCATTATTAAAAAATCAAAAAATAATAGATGTTGGTATGGATGTGGTGAAAAGGGAACATGTTTCACTGCCAGTGGGAATGTAAACTAGTATAACCACTATGGAAAACAGCATAGCGATTCCTTAGAGAACTAAAAGTAGAACTCTACTATTTGATTCAGCAATCCTACTACTGGGTATCTACCCAAAGGAAAAGAAGTCATTACATGAAAAAGACACAGTCACATGCATGTTTATAGCAGCACAATTCACAATTCCAAAAATACGGAACCAACCTAAATATCCATCAACCAATGAGTGAATAAATAAAATGAGGTATATATACTTCAAGGAATATTACTCAGCCATAAAAAGAAACAAAATAATGGCATTTGCAGCAACTTGGATGGAATCAGGGACCTTTATTGTAAGTGAAGTAACTCAAAAATGGAAAAGCAAATGTATGTTTTCACTTATAAGTGAGAGCTAAGCTATGAGGATGCAAAGATATAAGAGTAATATAATTGACTTGGGGGACTCAGGGAAAAGAGTGGGAGAGGGTGAGGGATAAAAGACTACACATGGGTGATGAGTGACACCAACATCTCAGAAATCACCACTAAATAATTTATCCATGTAACCAAAAACCACCTAGTTTAGTTCAATAGTTCCCAAAACTACTGAAATAAAATTTTTGAAAAAGAATCTTATTATAAATGTAAAAAAATGGTACTTATAGTTGAATACAGTATTTCAGATGTCTTCAGACTAACACACAATAAATTATCCTTTTATACCCATGACAAAGTAGTCACCATATTTTTAAAAAGCCTCTATCAAAAAAATGAAAGCAGACAATTAAAAGGTAGACTCTAAACTTTTAAATTTAATTAGAAATTTCACATTTTTAAGGGGAAATGTGATGATATCACTAACCTTCAGTTTTTAAGCCTGTGAAGATTTCTGTTTAAATGTTGGTTAAAAATGGATCATGAAGTCAAGAGATTGAGACCATCCTGGCCAACATGATGAAATCCCGTCTTTACTAAAAATACATAAATTAGCTGAGTGTGGTGGTATGTGCCTATAGTCCTAGCTACTTGGGAGGTTGAGGCAGGAGAATCACTTGAACCTGGGACACGGAGGCTGCAGTGAACCAAGATTGCACCACTACACTCTAGCCTTGTGACAGAGTGACATTCTGTCTCAAAAATAAATAAATAAATAAATAATAAATAAATAATTTGTTTTGAAAAAGACACTTTACCTTTAAGAAATCATTCCTGAAAGAGCTAAGACGCCTAGGTTTTTTCTAGGGAGGCAAGTCGTAAAAACCATTGTTGCTAGGGCATTATTATATACAGATCTCAGTCACATAAGACCCAAATGAGGAAGTAAAATTTCAGGAGTTATTTTTGTCTTTCTCCCCACTGGGTAAGCTGATAGGGTGATTTCTGTTTGGGAAAAGACAGTAATTCATAGTTACAAATTCTCATGCCTTATGTGTCCTATTTGACAAAACAAAAAAATAGAAAAGAGATTGGAAACTGACTAGAATAGCTATGGCATTTCCCTTTTGTTCATTTAAACAGCCTAAACTGGGTACGTATGTACGGTTGAAGCATAGAAAACATATAATGAGAAAACACTGGACAGGACTTTTGATGCCAAGTTAGTCTGAGGGCTGTCTCTTCTGAGAAAGGGATTAACACTGGATTAGAAAGAAGCTCCACTTTTGTAGAAACTCCTACCAGTTATCAGTAAGCTGTGTCTCTGTGGAGGAATCTGCTGTTTCCACATCAGTCTTTTGGCAGATTTTGGTTCCTTGTAGTTGCAGAACTGAGATCCTAATTTCTTTAATGGCTGGCTGTCAACTGAGCGCCACTTCCAGCTTCTACAGTCTACCTGCATTCCTTGGCCCATGGCCTCCTCCTTCCATCTGTAAACCTAGGAATGCTGGATTGAGCCTCTCAAGCTTCAGATCTCTCCTCTTTCTTCCAGTTCATTTCTCTATCCCAGCTGGGAAAGATTCTCTGACTCATGTGATTATATTGGGTGCGCCTGAATAATCCAGGCTAATCTCACCATCTCAAGCTTGGTGCCTTAATCACCTATGTGAAGTTCATTTTGCCATGTAAGATAACATATTAAAGGTTCTGGAGTATAGGAGAAGGACATCTTGTGGGGTGCATTATTTTGCCTGTTACATAGCCAATGCCAGGAGTGCCCACAAACCAAGGATAGATATTGCTGAAGTTATAGAATCCAATTTTACAAACATCTCATATCTATAATGGCATAGTTATGCCTAGTGTATTTCCCTCCCTCTAGTGATAGCAAGGTTTCTCTCTTTGATCAAACTCACTGGGATGGATGACTGCCTGAACAAATAACTTTTTCTTATCAATGTTCTTTATTACATTCTTGAGGGTCATACATGTGCTATTCTGTCTTGCCTTCTGCCTCTTACCACTCAGTCCAATCTGACCATCTCATCTGCACCCACACATCTTATTTAACCACCTTCTAGCTTCTCTTATGTGAATACACATATCCTCTTTAATTCCCCTATCTAGTCTCCTGATTTGTTTCTGATTGCCTCATGAGAGAAGAAACATCCTTACTCTTTTTTTCTATCTCTTCGTTTCATTTATAAGCTGATCATTCTAATGTGAAGGAAAATTTAGGAAACAGCTTATTCCCAAGATGTAAGTTGCTTCTTCATATTTGGCTAATTCTAAATGGCAATGAGATTGAAAGAAAGTGAAGCTCAAAACTCTGACCTTGAAAATCAAAACCTGGACAAATGCAATATGTCTTTATATCTGTGGTATGAATTTTATGCTTTTATATCATGAAATCTGTCAGCACACTCCGTACATTGGCAGTTTGAATGGCTCTGCCACATGCTTTGTATTAATTTATTTAAGTTTGATCATTGCTCCCCAATTTCATATTTTTAAAGTACAGCAGGATACATTTAAAGACTGCTAATGTTACCCATCTATCTTCTAGATAGATTTTAAAATCGGCATACTGAAAAGCAAGACACAGCCAGAGGCAATACTCATCTTGTGCTTTCTACCGTGAGTAAGAAGTTAACCTTAATTATTAGCACCAATCAAACTAATTACTAATTGAGGCAATTACTGAGATAAAGTCCAGTCTTATCTTAGAACCAGCCCAAACTACAAATAAGCATGGCATTATTATAAAGTTAGGGGAGACTTTGTTCCCATTAAACATTTTTATAACAGAATTCAGTGGGGAAGGTGTTTATAATAACGAAACTATTGGACCAGCTCAAGTGTCCAAAAATAAATAAAGGTGTATCCACATAATGGAATATCTTGCAGCCATTTAAAATGATGCTGTAGAATGATATGTATGACAATGAAAATTGTCTTGCCACATTTAGTATAACAAAGTTAGAACACAGTACATATATTATCCAAATTGTGAAAAATAGCCCTTATGATAATCCTAATTATGGAAAACAATATAGATTTGTACATAGAAAAATCTTAAAGATAGGCACTACAAATGTTTGTGTAATCATTTTTTCTTACTAGTAAAATATCAACGATTTTATTTTGGTATATTTGATAATGGATATGTATTACTTGGAAATTAGTAAAAGTTAATATTGTTTGTTACAGGTCAATGGACAATAATCCATCTAACTTATTTCATAGGAAACCTAGATTTTTTAGTGATGAGAAGCTGATCCTTGTGGACATTTAGGAGATACCACTGCGGGAACACCACTAGGTCCACAATCTTTAACATTTAGGTGTGGCCTCACCATTTTGCTTTATGTATATGTCACAATAGCCTCATGAAGTGAGGTAGATAAAGCAAGTAATAATCAGTTCTTCCTGGAAACCAGAAGTATATTGGTAAACCTGAGGTTAGAATGTTGCCTTTCTTTGAAGTCCAAGAGCAACATTATCAGCTGCTGCTACTCTGCATGGGCTCAAAACTCTGAGGAAAAGCCTTTTCTTCCAACATTGACTTTTTGCCAGTCTAGGCTTAGCCAATAAGCTCCAAAAGGCAGCTGACTGGGAAGTAGCTGCAAAGTGGCAGTCTGTGGGGAGGACAAGGACTGACTCACCACATCCATAAGATTTGCGAGGCTGCTTCTTCTTCTTCTTCCGTTTCCATAGATTTAGACAGATTCCCATCATCCCACATATAAATATTGTTAGAAGTACAGCTGCAATCCAAGTGATATGGTCTGGGGGAGGCTGAAGTTCCTCAATCTCTAAAAATGACCACAAATCTTCAGTCAGCCAGAAGAGTCATTTACAAAAGGTTTCTTCTAGCTGCTTTTCTCTTGATTTACTTGCCAGCATCTTCCTGGGACTCTAAGGCCAAAGAAGTCTGAAATCTACAATATGAGGCCATAGAAAGTCCCAGACTCTGGGCCTCAGCAGCAACCTAAGATTCAAGCCCGTGCCTCTAGCCAAATGCCTGGACTGAGCTGCCATGCCTTCCTAGAGGTGGGGATAACACCGACCATGATGGGGAAGAAGAGGGTCAACCTGGCCCATGATGCTGAGGCTCTGTGTGTGCAGTCATCTGTGGCATGCCTGCTACCCCACCCACCTCTGCAGTTAGTCCCCAGACCCTGAAGTTCCTCTTGTGATGATTCTTCTGTCCACTATCATCTCCACACACCTCTCACTTGGACAAATGGAACAGCCTCCACACAGGCCCCTACCTCCAGTTTTTGTTTGCTTGTTTATTTAGTTTTTTTCCCACTGAGGTCACAGCAGGTTTTTTGCTTTTTGTTTTTTGTGGTTTTTTTGCATGGCTTTCAGCATATCTCGTCTACTAAAAAACCTTTGATGTTTCTTCATGCCTTGAGGAATCAGGGTCGGAATCAGGTGCCTGGAGGTCAGGACCTACTTCCTTACATGAGAACTCCTAAGTTTCTGGGGAGTTGGAAAACAGGCTTTATGGAGAAAAACTTAGAACTGAGTCACCCACTTTAAAGACATTTTTGGGAACAGCTCTGGTAGCCAATCCCCAATTTCAGGAAAACTAGGACCAGCTGATCTGTTAGCTTAGCTATGATTTGTGGACACATGCCCTGTTTCTGTGACATTAAGGAGTCATTGACATTGCAGGCCATATTTAATCTCTTTTGAGCCTGTCCCAGTCTATCCCACTTGAGCAAGTTTGGCACTCCCAGTAAAGCAGGTGCGGGGTTATACTTACTAATATGGAGGCTGCTATCTTTTTTTTTTTTTTTTTTTTTTTTTTTTGAGACAGAGTTTCACTCTTGTTACCCAGGCTGGAGTGCAATGGCGCAATCTCGGCTCACTGCAACCTCCGCCTCCTGGGTTCAAGCAATTCTCCTGCCTCAGCCTCCTGAGTAGCTGGGATTACAGGCACGTGCCACCAAGCCCAGCTAATTTTTTGTATTTTTAGTAGAGACGGGGTTTCACCATGTTGACCAGGATGGTCTCGATCTCTCGACCTTGTGATCCACCCGCCTCGGCCTCCCAAAGTGCTGGGATTACAGGCTTGAGCCACCGCGCCCAGCCGCTGCTACCTTTTAACATGCAAAAAAGTCCCTTGACTCAGGGTCTAACCTATGTCTGATTAAGTGATAGAATGGGAAACCCAGAGAGGCAAGCCCCATCTTCCCGAGGCAGCTAGAGCTGAAACATTTCTGAAGATGGTTGTACCTGTGGAAGTTTTGGCGGAACAGTAGTTGAGAAGCAGCAGGAAGGTGAGCCACAATGAGGTTATAGTGGTGGCAAGTCCCTGTTAATATGTAGACTGTAGGAGTCATTAACAGAGGGCCCTGGGGGAATGTCACATAAGAAGGCACTAAACTTCAGGCATAGCTTGGAGAGGCTTCTATCTGGGCAAGAAAAGCTACAGGAGAAGCAACTGGGACAGGACAGGTGGTTCCACCATTTACTAGACTCTCAGAGGTTGAAGTGTCTGAGTGGAAGGAAGTCAGTACCAGGAGATGAGATTGGCCCAGTTGTAAAGTTGGTTCATGGGGGACTGGCCCCACAGGCTGTTCATAGATCAAGTTACATCTGAACAAGGCACTGGAAGAGAGGAGGCCAGGGGATGGAGCAAGGAGTTGGATGGATGTTACTAGAAGGAGTAAGCCAGGAGTTATCACTGCAGAAGGGGTCAAGGCAAGAAAAAGGCAGATGTTGGGGGTCACCGTCAGCACAGGCAGTGATGGGACAGGACAGGTGCAGACCACCTTTCTTCTAGGAGGAAATCTTACATTTACAGCTCCTTAAAAGCGGAGTGTCAAATATAGACACATGCCCTCCTGGCGAAGCCACAACTTTAAAATGTCGGGCTCCTATTAGTGGCTGCTGTTTAGTCTCAATCCTTTCCTCCACTGAACTGGTCCCTGAAGCATATGCTGCAAGCATTTCTGCCTCTGAGGCTTTCTTTGACATACCTCCTGCACTTAGGTCAGATACAAGCTGATCCATTGTGGTCCTCTCACCTGCTGAGCCCAGATACTATCTCAAATTTTTTCTGCTAATAATAAAGTTACCACAGTTTTGGGAACCTGTCATCCAGAATGCCCTCCTCTCCTCACCACATTTATTAAACTCAATAGTTTACTTTAGGTGTTACAAGTTGCCCCTTCCCTTAGGAAACCTTCCTTGACCCTCAGGGATCTTGCCTACCTCTGAATGCCCATAAAACTCATTATTGGTTACTTTTAAGTTTAGTCACATATGTGCATGGAATAAAATTTAGATTCAAATTAAACCTTTTAAAAATCCAGTTTTTCATATGTGCACATTACAGAGCTCTGATTCTATTGAAAGATCTTCAAGGGCAGAGGGGATGTCTTATATCTTTTCATTTTCACTCCTGCAACCAATAATGTCCCAAATGGTTCTATACTCACAATAAGTACCATTTGCATATATGTATGGATGGATGGTGTGTGTGTGTGTGTGTGTGTGTGTGTGTGTGTGTGCACGTGCACGCACATGCAAGCCCAGGTATGTGTTTTAATCAAAGAAAGAATTCTAGCCAGAGGAATCCTGCATTTTTTAATCAAAACCTCAGAATCCTCCATCAAAGGTAAGCTAAGAGACTGAGCCAGTTTTAGGGCTAAAAGCCTATTTCTTCAAGTGCAGCATAGGCTCGTAGCCTCTTGGACCCTGCATCACTCAGAGTGAAGCAGGAGCCCTCCATCTGGGTCCTTCCTAACAGCATCATAAAATGGCCCAATTGGAGGTTTCCTAGAAAGTCAGGGACGTCAGATGATCTGCCTTAAGCATTTGTGTATCATATCTGCTGAAAGAAATAGTCTTGGAAAGCAGCTTTACCTATAGAGAAAGGTGAGGATAAAAGCCATTTCTTCTCAGTTTGCAGAACACAGAAGACGGTCATATTGCTTGTGACATCAGGGAATGAAACAGACAGGCTGATGGAAACATCATACAGTTCTGTGACATTATCTTGAGACTTCTGCATAACACCATCATACTCGGTAGTTGAATTCTTGGTTATTAGCAAAAAACTCATCTTCACAGGTTCTGGGTAACCATGTATAGATGAACAGGTTAAATTTATGTACAAATTTTCTGTTATATTAGAAATTGGGACTATTTCAGGTTGACTGAAGTTAGCTGAAAGCAAAAGAGAGATTTAAAAAAAATCAGTCTAAGTTTAGATGTATCTAGGAGGGAATAGCAAATAACTGGGTACTCGATCTGGGGCTCATTGGGGCACACCTGGGAGCCTCAGGGTGTCTAAAATGTGGCCTTCAGCCCAAGGTGAGTGCCACATAATAACTTCATGATTATTTTTCAACAGTAGAGTTTGGGGCCATGCTTACTTCTTGCTTATCCAAATCAAGGGGGTGCTCTCTAAGTGACAGGAGGGACATAATTGAGTCACCAAAGATTTATAAGGAAGCCACTATTTCCAGGGAGTATAGTCTTTGGAAGGAAAAGTGGTCTGACTCTAGGGCCCAGGTGTCCCATGGGGCACATTCTAGCTCACCAGATTAAGAGAGCAGAAAGGGATTGAGCTGAATTGTCACCAGGAACTGACAGAGTTCATGCTGGCATGCCATGAGTCATGTCTTTCAGAAATTCAAGCAGGACTGTGGTAAGTGAATGGTTGGGGATTTTGGAATTAGAAATTCAGAACACTGATTTTTGGCATGAGCATCGAAGTGTCTTCATAACATACTCTAAGATGAAGGCCAACTCCAGCTATTTTAGGGAAAAATACATCATCTTGATAAACACAGTGTTTCTCTTGCCTTTGTTTGCCATTCATACTTTTCTGGATGTTCAGGATCACTGGCATGGAGCCGTTAGACCTGTGTCGTGTGCCTTCTGTTAGAAAAAAATCTCTTGCTCTTCTATAGTTACTAGGTAGTTTGCAGGTTCTACAAACTAATTTATAATTTAGTGTATTCTTACTAAAAGGTCTGTCATTTGCATGTCATCTTTGTAAGTTTTGCTATATCAGTGTAGTATTTGAGCACTCTTCTCAGACTTTATGTGATCTATAGAAGGTGAATTGCCAGATCTTACTTAGCTTTATTAACTACATCTGTGATATCACAGGTTGATTAAGTTATAGTTTTTCTAATATACATTAAAACAAATATGACATGGCTTTCAACATGCTTATCGGTATTCCACCTAAAACATTTCCAGTGGTACCTGACCACATTTTGCAAACATGGATTTAGCACGTGATTAACTGTTCCTAAAGCCTTGCAGCCTACTTTGAATCACACAGGGTTCAAAGGGAGCAGCTCTCCATTCTATTTCTATTTTTGCTTCTGTTTTACTCTATGGTTTTAGAATAGGTGTTCATCTGCCCTTTCAAGTTTCATCAAAAATTAACCTGGATCCAGTCATACCACACCTGGGTATTTCCCCTAGAGAAATGAGAACTTATATTCACACAAAAACCTGTACATGAATGTTTACAGCAGCTCTACTCGTAATAGCCCCAAACCAGAAACAACCCAATGTCTTTCACTGAGTTGAATGGTTAAACAATAAAATGCTCCTCAGCAATAAAAAGGGACAAGCTTGATATATGCAATAACTTGGATGAATCTCAAAGGCATGCTAAGCATAAGAAGCCAGTGTTGAAAGATTGCATACATTACGGCTCCACTTGTGTGACATTGTCAAAAAGAAAAAACTATAGGATGCCCAGCAAGGGTTATGAATGCAGACAGAGTATGACTCTATAAAGGGATAGACTGAGGGAAATTTCTAGGGTGATAGAAATGCTGTATGTCCTGTGGCTGTTAGCTAAATCTATATATGATCTATAAAATCAGTAGAACAGTATACCAAAACAAAAAAAGTTAATTTTACTGTGTGATAGTTTTAAAAAATCTGTAGTGACATTTAGGCCTTCTGAGGTCTGCTGAAGTGGAAGAGTGGGTTTGTAAGTTTGTGGTTGAGTTTGTGGTTGTAAGTATGTTTGTTGAGTCTTTTCCTTTCTGTCTACCAGGCTCATGGTTGTGGCAGCAAACAACTCCTAAGCAACCTAGAGGAGGCTGAAGGGAAAATCCAAATGTGTCAACTGTCCCCTTTGCTAGGACCTCCAGGCAAAGATTTAGTAGGTGAAAAAATCTTGGACCCAAGGGAAAAAATGAATGTAAAAGATCTGAGTATGGTTATATATACTTTGTAATGGCCAAATTAACCATGGTTTTTACCCTGAAGTAAACGAATTCAATAGTGAACCAAAACCTCCAATTACCCATGGTTTTTTCCATGGGTAATTAGCCATATTACTTTTGTTCAGTTAGCTCTATTTTTTTTTCCCCAAAGCAGATTTTTGCTAATCCTTCAGAAGCAGACTATAAAAAGTACAAAAGACTTTCAGTTCCCTACTCCCAGACTCCCATCAAATGGACTTCCCAGAAATGGCTGTTCTCTGCTTTCTCACTATAGACCCCCCTTTTCCCCTGGGCCCCTCAACGCCCACTCCAGTGTTTCTCTAAGTCATTTGCAGTCTCATCTGAGAAGGCTAAGAATCTGAACACACACCATTGACCACATACCCAACACTAACAGGTCGGAATTCATCTGGTGGATGCGAATCATTCCTGTGGGTTTTTTGTGATGAATGATACATCGATACAAGCCCTTGTCCTTGATCTGAAGGTTGTGAAGTCTCAGGCTCCAACTGTCCGGATCAAAACTTGTGCGGCCCATATACTTGGAATGAACGCTGTCAGATTTCTCTTTTCCTAAGTATACCTCGTTCAGAACCAAGTTTTCCTGGTCCTGCCAAAATACTACTAGCTCACTTAGGCTTAGGTTTTGAGAGTTTGCAAACTCGCATGGCAGGTCTGCAGTCTCATTGAAATAAGCTTGAATCTTCAGGGAATCAGCACCTAAAAAGGAAAGTTAAGGATTAGGAAGGGAGAAACGAGATGAAAGGAAAAAAAAAACCTCCATTTCCCTTTAGACAATACCCAGATACTATCTTATCAGTAGTGATCCTGAAGAACTAGATATTAAGCCCTGGAACTATGCACACATGCCAGGCATCTGGAGATTCGAACCTTTGCCCTTGCTTCACTGATGACTAAATGTGTGGCCTTGTACAAACTGCAATTATGAGCCTCAGTTTTCTCATCTGATTAATGAAGTGATTGGCTAAATGTTCTAAGGGTCTCTCTAGTACTGTGGTTCTGTGAATTTAAATCTCAGGACAGGGGAAACCAGGCAACCCATCCACCCACCTTTCTATAACCTGAATTGTGATTCTCATCATTGTAGCCCTCCCCTCCCTATCCACTTATTCATTGGTCTGCTATGGTGGAAAGATTGCTAATAATGATAATAAATTATAGCCTCCCTTTTATTATACTTCATTAGTTGTAGAATCACATTGACTAACATCTTTGAAATTCAAATAATTCCCTTTGCAGAACTTCCCCCATCGCTACTGCTCCCATGGCCAGCACTCCCAAGGATATCAAATGATTTAGAAATGACTTCAATAGTGAACCAAGGCCTCTATTCTCAGTGACCTCTCTAAGCTCTTTCAGAGATCAGAAAGAGAACTGGGAACATTTGATGGTTGTTTTTGGATTGTGGTGGTCAATGACCATTTAAGGCACATGAGTGAAATGCTGGAAGTGAGTCATAGATGGGCAGGTGAGGATGTGCTTTGGGAGTATTGGGGAAACCCCAGGCACCACAAACTTTTTGCTCTCAGGATGCACTGACCCTGGACAATTTTTACAACTACGGGCATCATGTTGGAAAAGTTCAGAGAAAGGCTTTAGTCCTTGAGGGCACTTTGGGGTTTGTGGGAAGGATGTGGGCCACCCAACTCCTTAAATGTGATTGATCACAGGATTTGTGTAGGACCTTTTCTAGGTTACAGAATTACTTGAGACTTGGCAAAAAAAAAAAAAAAAAGAGTAAGCAGTGGTGGATAAGAAGTATGGGGGTGGAGAGTGGGAAGGCTGTTTCTTACTTAATGTGAAGTTAGATGTCATCTTGGAGAGGAAGTTAGTGTAAGTTCTAAATAAAATCTCATCATTCAGGATTTATGTGAAGGGGTGTTGACATTGAGGAAGAAAGGGAGGAGATGGGTTGATGAGAGATCAGAGGAGTTTCATTTGAAGAGTTCTTGGTGTGGGAGTAATTAAATTGATGTGGTTTCTCTTGAAATAGGGAAGAGAAGAACAAATAACAGTGACTTATCAAATAATAATGTACTTATCAAACTGAACTTTGTACAGAGTGGCCCAGTTAGAACACATAATCAAAGGGTTGGTGGTCGTCTTGAACGCCAAGGGAAGCAGACAGCAGGCATCAGTGGGAGTTTGCACAAATCTGAATCACTCCTATTGCATTACACTCACTAGGACTCTGTGAAGCACTTGAAGAATTAAATGCACCATCTGTAGAGGAGGCATACCTATACTGGAGGGAGAAGGGAAAATCTATATGGGTACCCTGACAGTGAAAGGGAGATCTAAGGAAGATTTAGTGTGTTTGTTGTTACAAGACAAACCTGAGGTTTCTGCATCTTCTTTGCTGAGCTCTTAATGTAATACAAGAGTGCCACCTACTGTTAAAGCTTACAGCATTGTCTCTGGGAAACGCTGGTTTTGGTCTAACTTGCCATATTACAGAGGACAGATGACCTCATGGAGAAGCTAAACATATAGTTTAAAATGCTGCCAATTAACAGTCGATGTTATGTCATTACTCAGCTGTCAATTGTGCTTTCTGGATCTGGAAATGACTTCATCTTTAGCTTCTTCTGTCTTCTTGATTTACATTTTATTTATTTATTTATTTATTTATTATTTTCCGTGCAGCCTCACAGTATCTTGTTTCCTTCCCATCTACTCTCTCCACTCACAGGCCAGTCCAACTCAACTGACCCAGGCCCCTTCTCCCAAGGATTACAACAACTTTCTCTTCCACTCATCGAGTGCTCCCTTTTTCACCTACCAACTGACAGTGTGATGTATGGACCAATGAGATTCACGTCACCTGTGGGCTGGTCTGAAACACAGAATCTCTGGCCCCACCCAAGGCCTACTGATTCAGAACCTGCATTTTAACAAGAGCTGTAGTTTGAGCAGCTGCTGTAGAGAATCTCTGCCTCTGTCTCCAGAGTGGCTCACAGAAAATAACAGAAAAAAATTTTCTCCATCCATCCCTCCCCAGCCTCCCTCTCCTCCCCATGGGGTGGAAATCACTCTGAAATCCATTCTGAGTGAAACTGAAAGTATTTTGCAATTTATACTCCATAGCACCTCACCAACCACTGGCTCCCATGATCTCACACAGAGCTAGGCATGGGGGATGCTGCTAATCCTCTCTCTGACTAAATGGGGAAAGTTTGGCTCAAGGTCTGTGTTCACCAAGTGGCTTCAGGTCTTCCCTTTTATGACCCCAGACCTCAAGCTGCATAACAACTGAACTCACTGGAACTCCATAGGTGGGTAAGCATTGAGAATCTCTCCCTTCCCCAGCACTTCAGTAAGTCTAGATACAATGGATTGCTATGATGTCAGGAAAATGGCACTCAGGAATCCAGCTAGACCTTCCTAATCAGCTGAAGGAGTTTGTTTCAAAGTATAATTAAGAACTTCCTGAACAATATACTCTACTGTTGGAATACCACTCAAAAAACCGTAGTTTGCTAACCTTATGAAGTCTCTGACCCTACTGGGACTTAGGTCTTCCCTGGCTACTACTGTCAAATGCATACCTTACCTATTTAAGAATTATCTCTTCTTTATATTCCTATGCTTATCTGTACTCAAAAATTTTCCTTCTTTTACTAAACTTCCTCCAAAGTTTACTTGGCCCTCTGGAAGCCTCATTCCATTAATTACTACAAGGAAACTCTCCCACATCTTTAACCTCTTCATTGACTGTTTCCGCTGAGGTTATGATTTCAGTGAAATCTGGCTCTACCCAAAAGAAGCCACTTGCCCCTCCCAGCTACTGTTTGTTTTATCACATGTCATGGGGACTTTGAGCAACACCATCCCCTTTTGAGGTGTCTGCTTCTTTCATTGCTGTTAGTTACTAAATCACTACCCCCCTGCTCAGTGAGGATTTTGGCATTAGATGCAAGGTCTTGCCAACAATCTGGGTGACTTCTTCATGAATGAGTCTAACAACCTTGTCTCAAATTTCTTTGATTTTGTCAACTCCACAGGTCTTCACCCACAGACTATTTCCGCAGCTACCCCCTATCTTCTTATGATATAACCCTGAACCTTTTCACCTGGAGCAGCTCAGTCCCTAGAATCTTAATCTCAATATACTCATCTCTGTCTACAGCCTCCTATTCATCCAGGTTTTGCTCTTGCTTACTCCTACATCTGTTGTTCAACTTCATCAAGACCTCAGATTTATCCAGTGTAGACCCTAAAGTTCAGTGTTTGCCACAAGAACTCTTAGTGATAATGAAAATGCTCTATCTCTGTGCTGAATAATATGATAGCCACCAGCCCCTGTGGCTACTGAGCAATTGATATGTAGATAGTATGACCGAGAAACTGAATTTTTAAATCTTATTTAATTTTAATTAATTGAAATTTAAATAGTCACGTTTGACTAGTGGTTATTATATTGGATAATGCAACAATAGTATGTTTTTGTAATTATTCCTTGTTACAACTTCAGTAAGCATACCCCTTTGTCTCTGTAGAATTTACCCTGGGGACACTCTATTTTGGTCTACATATCTGTTCTTACAATTGAGCAATTGAGCACTTCTGGGGGAAATTATTCAATTGTGCAGACTGGTGACATTACAAATCTGTAGTGTCCAGTCTCACTTCACTTGGCCTCCAGGCTGTTCGCCTGGTTCACCAGTTGCTTCAAACACAAGCCCTCTGCTACTGCTTTTAGTTTCTCTTTCCCTTGGAGTCAAATTCCCTGAAAGAGTAAGTAGCAATTGCAGCCTTCAGTCCCAACCTCCCACCCCCACCTCTCTACTGACAAAGGTCACTGGTGACGTCCCACCATGGCCAAGGCTTGGGCTCTTTTCAGACCTCATCTCATTTGACCAGTCTGTCAAACGTAACAGTGGTGGCAACTCTCATTGAAATGCTCTATTATTTCCCAATCTCTGACTTCCTCATTACTTTTCTCAGATCACTTTTTAATTTTGGTCATCTTGAGTGCAGGCTTTTAGTCTTCTTAATCTCCATACTTTCCCTGGTTTTTCTCCTCTAGTCCCATGGATTCAACTGTCAAGTATAAGCTACTAACTCCCAGGTGCTTATTGCCTGCCCATAATTTTCACTAGAGTTTCCTGTAACCAACTTCCTGCTGGATGCCTCCATCTAGATAGCAACAGGTACTCTCTTCCTCCCCTTCGGCCTTCCTCTCCTCTATCTCAAGGAATGCTTCCCTGTTTAGGAATGATTCCCAGACAACCCTCTTCTGTCTGCAATCATCTAAACCATCTGTATAACCAAGAAGAATCGTCTATATACCCAAAATACCCAAGATAAGCTCTGCATAAGTGTGTCTGATGAGATCTAGAACTACTACAGTCAGAGCTGAACTCCAATATGTTAGGAAAAGCATGGGGGAGACTAATGTAATTGTCTCCTAATTCATCTGCCTGCTTTCTCCTTGTCCCTAAGTCTAGTGTCTCAAGCCTAAATGATCACTTAAAAAATACATCTCCAGTCACTCAATTCTCCTGTTCAGAAGCCTCCAATGCCTTTCCAACGTACTGAAAATTGTATCCAGATCCCTTCCCCTCACACTGAGAACTACATCCAAAGTCCTTCTGCTGGCCTCACAAGACCTCACATAATTGGGTCTCTAGGACCTATGAGACCTCTTTCCCTCACTCTGCCCCAGCCACACCGCCTCCCTTGCCATTCCTCCAAAA